AAAGTGTACATGATGATAACTTGAAGTCAAGGCCAGGCACGGTCTTTAAGAGATGGCTCTGTGTCCACCTGGGAGAAGAAGCCGTAGTTCCCAGCAGTCAGCATGGGACTGTGAGCAGATTGGATGAAACTGCTCTTCTTTCTTCTGGCACAGAGTCACTAAATGGTCAGGGAACTGTGGCAAGCACAATGGATTTTGACTTCAGCCAACACTTAACAATGCCCGGTGGACAGTGTGGGGAAATGAGGGCTGGGTGTGAGCTTAGAAATGGCGGGATGACTACGCAAGTGTTGCTTATTAATGAGTTGATGTCAAATCCAGGCAGGTACAGAACGTGGGTCAGTGTCCACAGTCATCTTCAGCTCACCATCATCATAAATCAATGACTCAAAATCTATAGAGGAAAAAAAAATCTGTAGAGGATGAAACTGTACAGGACAAAATATAGAGATGATGTAGATGATCAACGTTGGGAGGAATACTGGGTAGACTACATGAAACGAACAGTGGAGGAAAGCACCAGATTCTTTCCACCATCTCCAATACTGTGGTTTCTCTTAAAAACAAAAACAAAACCAAAAAAACCCTAGGGAATTTAGTACACAAAAATGGCTTCTCAGTGTTTTAATTTGCATTTTTACTTGTAAGAGAGAACAGTTGATCAAAGATTTATCAATCATCTGTAATCATGTTTCATACATGATTTACCTTTTGATAGAATTTGTTTATCTTGCTATTGAGGTACTTGCCTCTTTCCTTATTCATTTGTAACACTCTATACGTTAACTCCTTGCTTATTAATTATTCTCATTATTTTACCCAGTTTTCCGTTTTCCCTTTAAGCTTACTTATAGTTGTTTTTGGTATACAGAAGCGTATGGTTTTTAATGTGGTCAAATCTCTCATTCTCTTATTTTAAGGTTCCTGCATTAATAAATATGCTTAGAAAATTCTTGCCTGCTTTAATGTTAGATGAGTATTCACTTACATTTTGTTCCAGTTCTTTAAAATTTCAGTTTAAGTCTTTAATCCATCTAGATTTTGTGTTGGTATAGAGCATAAACTCTAGTGATCAAAATTACTTTATTCTAAATGGTTAGCCTATTTTCTCAACTCTAGTTATGAATAATGTATCATTTCTCCAATGATTTGAAATAGTAACAAAAAAACAACAATAATAATTAATAATAGCTAAAATTTGCCAATTACTGTGTACCTGGCACAGTTCTAACATGTCGTAGCATTTATTTATCACAGTAACCTCATAAGGTGGGTATTATGGTTATGATTCCCATGTTATTAAATCATCCCTCTGTGGGGAAAGTGAGGTACAGAATGGCTGAATAACTTGCCCAAAGTCACACAAGTGGGGAGTGGTGGTGTACAAATATAGACTTGGCCAACCTGACTCCAGGATTCAAGCTTTGAAATTCTTTTATATACTTGGGGTTGTTTCTGGGCTTTCTGTTTTGTTCCAATGTATTCATTCCTATGCTGATACTGTGCTGTTTTAATATCTAGTAATTCAAGTCACTCCTTTAATTTTTTTTCTTTATTAATTTCTAATTTAACCAGAACTCCTCCTCCCGTTTTATAATACGGCTTCTTAAAAATGTCAAGGCTTTTTTCTTCTGAATACCAAAAGTAGCCAAACAATACATGCCATGTTTTTCTAGAAAGTCTCTCTCTTTTTTTTTTAAAGAATCAATTTTATTTATTTTTGGTTGCGTTGGGTCTTCATTGCTACACACGGGCTTTCTGTAGTTGTGGCGAGTGGGGGCTACTCTTCGTTGCAGTGCGCAGGCTTCTCATTGCGGTGGCTTCTCTTGTTGCGGACCATGGGTTCTAGGTGCACGGGCTTCAGTAGTTGTGGCACACAAGCTCAGTAGTTGTGGCTCACGGGCTTAGTTGCTTCGTGGCATGTGGGATCTTCCCAGACCAGGGATCGAACCCGTGTCCCTTGCATTGGCAGGTGGATTCTTAACCACTGAGCCACCAGGGAAGTCCCTCTAGAAAGTCTCTTGACAACGTTTTCTGAGGTAATGATTTGCCAGGCTCTTTAGCAAGAGATATGTTCCATGGCTGCTTTTGCTGGTGCCAGCTCTCCTGTAGAGTCGCCAGTAGAATCAAACTGCTCTCAACCTGGTTGTAGAGATCTGAGCAGTGCCAATCAGTAGAACTCTCTGCAGTGATAGAAAGATTTTAAAGCTGTGTTGTCCAGTATGGTAGCCACTCACCACTTGTGGCTACTGGGCACGTGAAATGTGCACTTAAAATAGTATGACTGAGAAACTGAGAAACTGAATTTTAAATCTAATTTAATTTAAATTAATTTAGATTTAGATAGCCACATTGTGGCTAGCGGCTACTGTATTAGACAGCACAGAATTGATGATGAAAAAGTTAAGTAGCTTGAACTGTTCTCAAATGTGCTACATTCACTGCCAGGGAAATAAGTCATCTATATTTTGAGGGTCTCAAGTCCAGGGGCTATTTTTCCTCTTAAGCCCCTCTCCCCTTACGGTAACAGATGTTTGCTTTTGCTGTTTTCAGCTCTTCAGTGGCAGTGTTGGATTACCCAGGGGGAGCACTAAGCATATGCCTGGTGTATCGGTAAAAGGAGGGTACAGACAAATGAAATACAGTTGGCCCTCCATATCTGCGGGTTCCACATTCATGGATTCAACCAACTGTGGATTGAAAATATTCAGAAAAAATAATTCCAAAAAGTTCCAAAAAGCAAAATTTGAATTTGCTGCACACTGGCAACTATTTACCTAGCATTTATTGAATATGTTGTATTTACAGCTATATACATAGCATTTATGTTGTATTAGGTATTATAAATAATCTAGGGCTTCCCTGGTGGCTCAGTGGTTGAGAGTCCGCCCGCCGATGCAGGGGACACGGGTTCGTGCCCCGGTCCGGGAAGATCCCACATGCCGCGGAGCAGCTGGGCCCGTGAGCCGTGGCCGCTGAGCCTGCGCATCCGGAGCCTGTGCTCCGCAACGGGAGAGGCCACGATAGTGAGAGGCCTGCGTACCGCAAAAAAACCAAAAAATCAAACAAAAAAAATAATCTAGAGATGATTTAAAGTATACAGTAGGTTATAAGCAAATACTACACCATTTTATATCAGGGACTCGAGCATCTGAGGATTTTGGTATCCAAGGGGGGCCCTGGCACCAATCCCCCATGGATACTGAGGGATGACTGTAATTTGATATTCCAACAATGACAACTGCAACAAATCATCTGGAAAAATTTGGAATTGATTGTACTCCCTTAAACTTATTCCATGACTTGGTGGTATTTTTATTTTTAATTCTGTACATGCAAAGTCAGCCCCCCAAGATCTTCTCAATGTCTGGTGGCACCATTGTACAGATTTTTGTTCTTCCAAAGAGGAATTTGAGCAACCACAGCCCGAGGCCCCATAATCATCAGCCTGTGGAGGAAAGATCTGGGCCAGCACCCCTGACTTCTGGGAGAGAACATGACCCACTCTGCTGCAGAAAGAGCTGGATTCAGATCTGCACTGGGAAAGCATGGTGCTGTGGTCAAAAGCAAAAACCCTGAAGCCAGGAAGCTTGAGTTTGAATCCTGGCTCTGTCATTTACTAGCTGGGTGACCTTGGGCAAGTTTCTTAACCACTCCATGTCTGGATTCATCATCTATAAAATGGGAATAATAATAGTACCCAGTGTAATAATACCTGGTGCTATTATTATGGTACCCAGTGGGTGGTTAGGAGAGGTTTTAGAACAGTGTCTGGCACATAGTAAGTTCTAAGTAAGTGTTTGCAAGTTAAAATGAGGTCTTTAGTTTAGAACATGATGCCCTGACTTAGTCACTTGACCCAAATGTACAACTCAGATGTGCGTGTTTCTTCAGTTAACAGCCAGGGATCTCCCTGGAGTTGACATGTGATGCACCTCTGAATAGAACATACGAATGTCTTTCAAAGAGCTTTTACATCAATTTTCTTATTTTATCTTCACGGCAACCTGCTGAA